ATATATATATATATATATATATATATATATATATATATATATATATATATATATATATATATATATATATATATATATATATATATATATATATATATATATATATATATATATATATATATATATATATATATATATATATATATATATATATATATATATATATATATATATATATATATATATATATATATATATATATATATATATATATATATATATATATATATATATATATATATATATATATATATATATATATATATATATATATATATATATATATATATATATATATATATATATATATATATATATATATATATATATATATATATATATATATATATATATATATATATATATATATATATATATGTCCATGCCTAATATCCAATGGCCAGAAAGTAATTCATTTTTTTATAAATTGTTAAAATTTTGGTATTAGTTATGGAGTAAGCCCATAGATTGTTGTGTACACTATGACTTTATGTAAAATTAACTTTAATGTGTGATATAAATAAAAAGCATAAATCATAAACGAATGATTTCTCAACTCAAATGAATGGCAGTTTAACATACTGCCAACAGTATTACATACGTCACCAACACGTCACCACTTAACAAGCGGATGCTATGTGGTTGCTACGGTGTTCTAGCGGAGTTAGAGGTTTATGAAATTTATTATGGTCAATAGACATTATTAGGGGGAAGGCATTACAAATAACTAAGTAGTTACTTTTTGGGAGAGTAACTCAATATTGTAATGCATTACCTTGAAAAGTAATTTTCCTCAACTCTGGTCAAAAGATGTAGAAGCTTGCCTTAGAAAACGCCATTGATCATAACCCAGTTATGAAACAAAATGTACTCAACACACTGTTCACTTAGACGTTTTTTTGTTCACTCACACTCTATATCAACAGGATCCACTGCTTTCCATGTAGCACTGAACCCTGTGTCCACGATTTTGTCATTCGAGGAGAAGCTGATCGTCAGTCTGTCATCAATCGCTACCAGATCTCTCGGAGGAGATGTGCTGCAGTGGGTGCCTGGGAAGAAGAGCACACCGTATATTATTTCTCATCCATATTACCACCTGAAAGCACACTGATATATATGGACATGCCGCATGGGAAATTTCTACCCAGGGAGCCGATGCTATCACTGAGAGTGACTTTGTCATTGAGGCACAGTGCGGTCTCCTCCAGGGAGAAGCTGTTAAAGTGAAGGTAGACGTTTTTCCCGGTGGGCACGCGGATGTTCCACTGGCAGGCAGCTCTGTTAGTGTAGGTATCTGGGTGATGCATTGATGCCACCGTGCCCTCTGTTCCAAATAGATCTTTAAGTCCACCACAACCAGAAGCTTGAGAAAAAGAAAAGGCTTTTAAACTCCATTCTAAATACTGTAGATCAGCTTTTCTCAATCGCAGTCCTCATGCTCTACTGCTCTGCATATTTTGTGTGACCCATTTTTTTGAAACACCTGACAACCAGGTCATTAGAAAAGAAGTCAATGCTGAACGGTGTCAAGCCTCATTGACACTACGAACGACGAGTCCGTTCATTTCAATGAAGAGAGCTACTTCAGACGACCACCTCTGCCTATGCGAGCGACAGCGACCGTTGGCAATCAGGTGTGCGTGTTGAGCGACGCAGCAAAGTTGAGAACTTTATGGAAATGAAGATCGACTTTCTTGAGAGACAACCAATAGGAGCACCAGTAGAGCTCACGTGATCTTCTCTTAGCTCACTCAGAGTCCGGTTGTATTCGTGCTGTATACTGTTTACCTACACACACTTGCGTTTGCAGCAGGTCGCCACCCAGAGAGTCACTACTAGTGTGAATGAAGCATTATAATTGATTAGGTACCAACACAGTGTTCATTGCTCCCTACTCCCTTACCTTCGAAATTGCACCCTGTAGCCTCATTCACTATTCCCTACATTAGTTTACTAATATAGTCTACTTAAAGAAGTGACGAGTAAAACAAGTGTGAAGAATTAAACAAGTGAGTAAATTTGATCACTCGCATTCGAAGCAGGGGCGCCACTAGGGAGGGAAGTTTGACTTTTAGGACCCCGAGAGCTACTATTAAGGGGCCCAAACCCCTATTTGCTCAGCCCTGGGGTTTAAACCGGCTAGCCGCACCCCTGATTAAAAGGAATTTAATTTTGTATATGCTTTGCAGGTTGATTCATTCCTCGTACAGCTTAGATTTCAATTGTATAACAGATTGATTAGTTATTAACCACTTATAATTAATCACAATAACGCTATGTATTAGTATGTTGACCAAGGCTGTGTCCCAAATCGCCTACAACTCGAGTAGGTACTACATTTTCATTTGAATTTACTACATGAGCTTTAGATATGAACATTCTGCCGGCGCAATAGCCTAGTGGTTCAAGTGCTGACATTTGGTGCAGAGGCACATCAGGGTGTCCTGAGTTCGAATCCCAGCTTGAGGACATATTTCAACCCTTTTTTTTTAAGTACGTTCTATATAGTATGAATGTGAATAATATGAATGGAATGTGGACGTACTACATTCGCAATTTGTTATTATTACTTGACCTACCAGCATCAGTTTTGTCGCTTTACTTAAGGCTGATTTATACTTCTGCATAGAGTGATCAGCGTTGTTTTCCTTGCGCATGGTTATGTATCTATACTTCTGCGTGCTGTTTGTGCTGCTCTGCAATAACACTTGCAAAATGCTAGCTGGCAGTAGGTTTTATGTGTTCCTCTGTGTCGAGTTTCTTCATGGGTGTTTTATTTTTTGTGAACACTACCTTAATGTACAAGTAGCAGGCCCGGATTGGCTAATCGGGAGGACCGTGAGAATTCCCGGTGGGCCCATCCGTTTTTTGGCCGCGAGGGCCAGTGTCCCTAGCTGCTAGCACTCTCAGCAGTCGCACTTTTTTTCATTTATTCAATGAAAATCAGATGATTCACTACATTAATAAATCTGACATAAATTGGTCAGAAATCTAGAAAGGGGAGAAAAAGATTAAGCCGTCAATAGACAAATTTGTAACATCAGCGCCTTTGTGGTCCAGTGGTCAGCATGTTGCGTTACCACACCGCAGGACCCGAGTTCGATCCTTACCTGTCTACTTTATTTTTTTATTGTTAAGACATATAATACTGTTTGGGTTGTTGAACATTTCAAGTTCTAAAGCAGCTTATTTCTTGAAAAAGACGTGATCGTGTCATTAGAAACTGATTTGGAAATGACATTATTTTAATATAATCAGTCATGAACTGAGGTGGGCTGGTCTGGCTTGAAACTCCAGGGCTGAAAAGGAGTCCCACTCCGGCCCTGACAAGTAGCTAAAATTTGTTCATTCAGAGGTGTGAACCGGCAGACGTGCAACAAAATTAATCATAAGTCAAACACAAAACAAAAGTTTCCATCTTAAGCTCCTTCACAGGACTTGACACTTGAAAACAATTGCTCCAACGGGTTCGTGTGGCTCTTGATCCAGCCCACACTGGTCACAGCTACCAAGCCGACCAATCACAGAGCTTGTGCTATACGTAGTTGAGGCCATGCGACTGCGCTAAGGATGCACCGCAGCATACGTGTGCGCTTGATGCAGAAGTATTAATCAGCATTTACGTTCATAAATTATCTCGCATTGCATTATGGGATATTATGTCATTTATCGAACACACACTTTAGAATATTACCGAAATTAGTTGGTCATTAAGGTACTTCTCGCATACTCACATTTTCCAATACTATAAATTCAGACTACTTAGCTCGGAAACTGTTTTTAACATACTATATAGTATGGAAGTATGCAATTTCGGACACAACCTAAGTGTTTTTTTTGTTATACAAACATCACTTCAATTATATAATATTTTATTTTAAAACTTGATTTTAAAACACTGATAGGATTCCGCTGTGGAAGTCACCTTGTGGTCAGACATGGAAATTCATTTGGCACGTGAACTCTCATAATGTATTATAGGTATTTTCTAGCTGTTGAGTGTACGTGGGTTGTTTACAATTTTTTTGCGGTGCATTGTGGTATTGAATAAGTGCACTTTAGAAAGTCCAACACTACAAATGGCTACCCTTACAATGTAGCCTTACAATTGAGTCCAAAAAAGTTTTAAGGTAAATATTTTGGTAGTTTGTACAGTAAAAAATCAAATAAATATGTTTACAGAACTGTATTGTCCTGCTCAGTGGAAATGAGCCACAGAATGCCATATAAATAGAGTACATATTTCTGTAGAGTTTACTTTGCAGGGCACTTACGATCAAATTAGAACAAATATCTAATGTTAAAAGAGAACCATACAAAATATGCAGAGTCGTGGGGTGCTAGGACTGGAATTGAGATCCACTAATTCCAGAAAATGCAGGAATCAAACAGACATACTGGTGAAGTCGTAGATGTCTTTGCGGATGACGTTCTCTATCCAGGGCAGGTAAACAGAGGAACGAGTGAAGACGCTGGGCTTCTTATCAAAGACACAGCCGATCGGACCAAAACTAGTGATGCCGTGAACCTCCCAGGGGGCAGAGGGGCTGTCTTGGCATACCAAGGGTCCACCCGAATCACCCTGTGACAATGAATTAGTTTTGAAAGCAACATTATTATTGGTTAATAGACTTTAGTGCTGTGTGATTTGGGAAAAATATCTAGTTGAGTTTTTTTTTTAAACAGATATTGTGATTTTGATTTGATTTGCAATTTAATTTTGCAGTCAAGCTTCAGCTCAAAAATTTGTATTGTAGCTTTTTACTGCTAAAATGCAGTGTGTTTATTAAAAAAAGGAACTTAAAAGATATTAACTTATATTAGCATACATCTTTGAAATTGTACTTTGCTGTGGATTATTGGAAGACTCTCTGTTTTTGCTGTACCTAACTTACCTAACTACAATGAGTATCCACAAAGAAGCAAGTTGCCTTTTGTTGATCAGGTTCATCACCTCCCAGTAGCTCAGTGGGTAAGTGATTCACCTCTCACACCAGAGACCCGGGTTCTATCCCCGACTCTGACAGATGAAGAAGAAGACCAAGCAGATGACCAAGGACAAGAAAACGACAAAGATGGTGAAGAAGACCAAGATGAAGAAGAGAACGACAAAGAAGATGATGACAAAGACAAACAGCAAGCAGTCCAAGAAGACGAAGACCAAGAAGATGAAGACAAACACTAACATCAAGAAGACCAAGGAGACAAAGATCAACAGCAAGAACTCCAAGAAGACAAAGGCCAAGAAGAAGATAAAGACTAACATCAAGAAGACCAAGAAGACGAAGACCAAGGAGACAAAGACCAACAGCAAGAAGTCCAAGAAGACAAAGACTAAGAAGAAGAAGACAAAGACTAACATCAAGAAGACCAAGGAGACAAAGACCAACAGCAAGAAGTCTAAGAAGACAAAGACCAAGAAGAAGAAGACAAAGACTAACATCAAGAAGACCAAGGAGACAAAGACCAATAGCAAGAAGTCCAAGAAGACAAAGACCAAGAAGAAGAAGACAAAGACTAACACCAAGGAGACAAAGACCAACAGCAAGAAGACCAGGAAGATAAACACCAACAGCAAGAAGACAAAGACAAACAGCAAGAACATGAGGACAATGAAGAAAAACGCTAAGAGCAAAATGACAAAGACTAAGACCAAGATAACATCCAAGAAAATGTTCATCTTACGGATGAAGACAAAGATCAAGCAGGCTAACGTCAAAGGTGGCGAAGAAGACCAATCCAAAGAGCAAGAAGACTAAGATGACCACTTGGACAAAACTTGGACCACTTTGAGTGGACAAAGCAGACGATCATGAAGACTAAGATGACAACCATGAAGACAAAGTCCAAGACAACGAAGATTAATGCCAAGCTGAAGATGATGATGACTAAGACAAGATTGATAAGATGGCTAAGAGAAAACTAAGATAGTGACGATTACAAAGAAAATAATGATAATGAAGAAAAAAGATGTAGACCAAGACGAAGAAGAGGATGACCAAGGCCAAAAGGACTAAAAAGTTGAAGACTAATGCCAAGATGGCAAAAAAGACCATGATAATGTCACTAAGATGGCGATGAAGACCAAGACAAAGAAGAGGACTACCAAGACGACAAAGATGAAGATGACGACTAAGACCAAGAGAATGGCGATGACGATGAAGAAAAAGAGGACTACCAAGATGATGAAGAAAAAGACGATCAAAGCCATGAAAACGACGGCAGCTAAGATTATGGAAGTTGGATTTGGTGGCTTAATTGCTTATGATGTGAGTTTGTTATGATTATTTATTTTGTTGTGTGTTTACTTCAGTTTTATATTTACATGTTTAAAGCTTTTAATATGTTGTTCAATTGAAATATTGTTTAAATAAAAGTCATTCTTCAGTGACATAAACCATCATTTAGTAGGCCTTTTTATTAAAAATATTGGTTCAGTCACCATTTTAGGCAAGATACCATTTTGTATTGTATAAGATACCCTTCTCTAGTTAGTGGTGACACCAGTGGCCATTAGGTGAACTTGACCAGCAACTTTGGCTAGTCCTCACATTTGTGCACACTTAACATACCAAAAACAGAATAAATTTATCAGGCTCCACATTTAGATTTAGAGTAGTTTATCCCAGATAATTTTCCCACCTGACACACAGATTTGAGCTCATCAGGTGAAGTGTAGCCACAGCAGATCATGGAGGTCTTGACCTGAAACCACCAGTAGTCCATGCGTTTACAGGTTTCATATGGCACCACTGGCAGGGCCACCTGATTCAGGGTTTCAGCCACTTTGGGAGCCGTGGAGTTACCTATGGGAAAGATGACATGTATTTTTTGTTTGAGGAATGATAAATACGGATTGTAACTTGAGTTTGCTGTGTATTTCAGGATGCATTGTGAAAACTGTACAGCAGAGGGCGCAGTTACTCTAGAGTCTTTGGAGACTATCAGCATTGTCAGGTATGTGGGCCAGTGAGTATACATTGTGCATATATAGGATCTGTATATTTTTAGTCCCTGATTTTTTACATCAGGGCAAAAATGTGTATAAGCAAATTTAGATAATCACTGCCCTGTTAGAGTAAGTAAAAAAAGTCCACCACTTACATTTTATTAACATATATTATGAGACAAAGACATATTTACAGTTTTATTTGGCACAGCATTATTTTTTTTTTATTATTTATGTACTAGACTTATTAGACTACTTATTATTTATGTACTATGTAAATATATTAATATTTAATTAGCAAAAAATTATGTATCCACCTTTAAAATCAATTAATTATAATATATATATATATATATATATATATATATATATATATGTATATGTAAAGAAATATTTACAGTTTTATTTGGCAGTGTTATTGTTTATTATTTATACAGTTTGTACTATTAATTATTTAATTAATATTTAATTAGAAAAATTATGTCTCAACCTTCAAAACTAATGAATTACTAAAAATGTAAATAAATATCTAAAGAAATATTTAGTTTTATTTGTCAGTGTTATTTTTTTTTTACCATTTATATATACTATTAAATAATTTATTAATATTAATTAGCATTAATATTTAATATTTAAACATTTTAAATTAATAACCAAAATGTTTAAAAATTCTGTATATATGCTCATGAATAATGCAGAAATTCTCAGATTTCAGTTTTAATTCAATAAACGAAATTTATTTATAACTACACTGATTTTATGTGCCAAAATTTTATTATTAATGTTTTATATTCTACAAATACTTTAAAAAACATTAATTATAAAGTCATTTATTTACAAAAAAACGAACATGCATGTCAGGATCTGGCATTTTTATGATTTTAGATTTACATGATTTTGTTTTACCCTTAGATGTCCTTATTTCTCCCTACTTTTTCTTTTGAGCTCAGTAATTGATTGCCTTTTCCCTGTTTTTTTTAACTCTAGTTTTTCCAGAGATATTTTGTCTGTTGGCCTTTTTGTTCCTCTGTTAACACAATCTTTTGTTATCTCTACATTTTTTGTTGTTCCAAGTCTGGATTTTTGTGTGTTTGTTTTTGTACATAAATATCTTACTGTCCAAGTAGTTACTTGCTGGTGGATTCACTATCTTCCTGTGGCTCAGTGGTTAAGGAATCAGACTCTGACGCTGGAGACCTGGGTTCAAATCCTGTCTCTGACAATGCAACTATATTAATAGTTAAGCCTATTATCTTCTGAAACTATCAACATTTGACCTCCTGACCACTTTTTGTCCATTTATTAATCCGGCGTCACCACAGTGGAATGAACTGCCAACTTATCAGCACGTTTTACACAGCAGATGCCCTTCCAGCTGCAACCCATCTCTGGGAAACATCCACACAGACTCATTCACACTCATACACTATGGACAATTTAGCCTACCCAATTCACCGTCTTTGGATGTGGGAGAAACCTGAGCACCCGGGGGAAACCGAACGCAGGGAGAACATGCAAACTCCACAAAAAAATGCCAACTGACCCAGCCGAGGCTCGAACCAGCAACCTTCTTGGTAAATCATACTAAACGTTGACTATTTTAGGTCTGTTAGGAGTACCTAAATGATTTACATTTGCTAAATGCCAGAATAATGAGAGAATTTTTTAGAGAGTTTTTAATTAAATTCTAGACAGTTAAACCGTATAACTTTGGTCAAATGTTTTGGGTATCCTTCCACAAACTTCTCACAATAGTTTAAAGAAATTTTGGCCCATTCCACCTGACAGAACTGGTGTAACTGAGACAGATTTGTAGGCTGACTTGCTCGCACAAGCTTTTTCAACTCTTCCCACAAATGTTCTATAGGATTGACATCAGGGCTTTGTGATGGTCACTCCAAAACATTCACTCTGTAGTCCTTAAAGCACATTTTAACTAATTTGGCAGTACGCTTAGGGTCATGGTCTGTTTGGAAGACCCATTTGTGGCCATGTTTTAATTTCCTGGCTGATGTCTTGAGATGTTGCTTCAGTATTTCTACATAATGTTCTTTCTTCATGATGCCATCAATGCTTTGAAGTGGACCAGTCCCTCCTGCAGCAAAACAGCCCCACAACATGATGCTGCCGCCCCCATACTTCCCAGTTGGGATGGTGTTCCTAGGCTTGTAAGCTTTCCCCTTTGTCCTCCAAATGTAACTCTGGTCATTATGGCCAAACAGTTCAATTTTAGTTCTATCAGACCACAGGACATGTCTCCAAAAATGAGTCTTTTTCCCAGTTTAATTTAGCAAATTGTAATCTGGCTTTTTAATTGTTGATTCTGGCTTGTTGATGGCGTTGTGGCGTTTGCATATTCTCCTTGTGTTGGCATAGGTTTCCTCTGGGTGCTCCCGTTTCCCCCACAGTCCAAAGACATGAGCTGAAGGTGAACTGGATTAACTAAATTGGCCGTAGTGTATGTATGAATGTTTTTCAATACTGGGTTGCAGCGGGAAGGGCATCTGCTGCGTAAAACATATGCTGGAATAGTTGGCGGTTCACTGTGGCTACCTGTGATAAATAAGAGACCAAACTAAAGAAAACCGAAAGACATTTTCTGTGCAGTGCTACAACAGTACATCACTTACTAACTTACTTATAGCTTTAAAACTTTATCACCATCGTTCACATCTCATAACCCTGACCTGTTTCATCTCCCCAGCCGGTGGCGTAGCATTTTTTGCCTCCGGGCAGGAGCTCCTCAAAGGAAGGCAGACAGGCAAAATCGATGTGTTCGGTGGCCGTGACCTCTCCATCCAAACGCACCAGAGCGATGTCGAACTCCACCGTGGGCACCGTCGGGTACTGGAAGCCCTCGTGCCGATAGATACCCAGCACATTAAAACACTGCTCAGTTGATTCAGAGACAGTCAGATTGTGTTTCCCTAAACACATCTTCCAGCGATGCAGCTCATCCGCATACCTGAGAAAAGCCAACACTATTAGAGGTAAATGGAGATAAATGAAATAAAGAAAGCCTTATTACAATGATGTCATGACACTACGGGTGAATAAGGTTTACAAAATTTAACCAGTTACTATCACTATAGTATGGAGGCCCTATTTCATTCCTAATGTAATAAAAATAATACAATTCTAGAAATTCGGACTGGTAATTGGAATTTGTGTTGAGTTTATATTTTACAATGGAGATTAAAAAAAAAAGTGCAATACTAGATAATTCTCACCCTAGAGTTTTTTTTTAAACATGTGTATATTTATTTTTTTATTATTTAATTTATTATTATTATTATTTTTGTTTTATTTTATTATTTAAATTTTTTTATGTATTTTTATTTAATGCAAACCCTGACTAGTATATAGTTGTCGCTAGCTATGTATGCACTCTTTGTTCTTCAATAAATAATAATCACAAAAAATAGAAATATTGCAAGATATACATTTAGATTCACATAAATAGTCCACTGTAATTGAATCTTATCTGCACTCTCAGATAAACACACAAAGCTGTAATTCAGGCGGCGCCTGTTTAAAAGGTACACTTGTGGAATTACTCTACCTGGAAAACTTCAGGTGATTGTGGCAGTTGGAATGATTGGGATTGAAATCAGTTTTTATTAATGCAGGGTGGTAAAGGTGTACTTTAAATTTAATCGAAAAAATGATAAAATTTTACTTGAAGGGGTGTTCATAAGACCTTTATAATCATGAAATGACACATCTCATAAATGTGAAAGAAATTTGTATACATGCTTAGGACAACCGTTATTAAGTATATCTAAACTATAAACCGTTATCCCAGTAGTTCTGTGTTATTTGATTGATTGTAAATAACTGAAAAGGGTAAAAACTGAATCTCTTTCTTGATCTAACACAGATTTGAACGAAGGATTGATAAACATAACTAAATCATCATCATTTGTAATTTCTGTTGCATGGTTGTCTGAACTGAGATGCTGATCTTTTAATGATTAGATACTTTAAAAAGGTTTGGAACCACTTGAGGGAGAGTAAATTTTCACTTTTGGGTGAACTGTCTATTTAAGTACACCTATAATGTTCCTAAAATAATTCAGTGGCGTCTGTTTTAGTGTTCACAGTGTATATAAAGACTGGAATCGTTTGCTTTCACCTGATAAAGCAGTGAGCAGCGGTCAGAACCCAGTTCTTATGAATGAGAGTCCCTCCACATGTATGACCCAACATGGGTGGCTCAGAGTCACGCAAAACCTTCAAGAAAAACACACAAACTTTTAAATAGAAAAAAACCTATTTGTGTTTACATTTGTGTTTATTTATTTATTTTACAAATATGCAGAACCCATTTTACATTAAAACATTAAGTTTAAAGGGAAAGTTCATTCAGAAATTCACAATTTAGTCACCTTTAATTGGTTTTAACCATTATGAGTTTTGTTTTTTAGTTGAACACAAAGATATTCATGTCATTCATCGTAGGACAAGAAAAAAACATGGAAGTCAGTGGGTACCTGTTTCCAACATACTTCAAAATATCTTCTTTTGTGTTCAACAGAAGAATCTCAAACCAGTTTGGATGAAGTGAATGTTAAGTAAATGATGACAAAATGTTCATTTTTGAGTTATGGCTTTAATAGTTATCTATCGATTCCTAATATTTATTTACTTTCATTATTTAGAAGATATTCTGAACCCGGTACCCACTGACATCTATAGTATATATATTTTTTTCATTTGATGAATGTTAATGGCTGCCAGTTTCTAACATTCTTCAAAATATCATTTACAAAATGGTTTGGAATCACATGAGGGTGAATAAATGGTGACATCGATGAATTTGCTCTTCAGTGTTTGGACTCTCAGTAATGACTTTACACCACACTGAACTGAGCTAAACTACACTGAACTTAAACACTGAAAACTGAACTACCCTGATCCAGTTACTATGACCATTTATGTGAACCTGCTTTGACACAATCTACATTGTAAAAGCGCTATACAAATAAAGCTGAATTGAATTGAACTAAATTTTCACTTTGGTTGAACTATCCCTATAATCTTGATGCTTTCGTTAACAAACACAAACGATTGTCATAATCAATAGATCAACATAATATTATAATAGTAATACTTAAAACTGACCACAAGCACACTAATACCATCGTTTCCCTATTGAAATTTGACATATGGCAATATATGGAACATATCTATCAAAACAATCTATATATATATTGGTTAATTTCACATATGATTAGCAATGGATAAGCATATATTTAACAAGAAACCTTTGTTTTTATACGGTGTTTAATGTCTGTTATGTCTTCCAGAAGGGCTGTGTGATTGGATCTGGCTGAACTGTACCTGCATGGACACTTGCCATGGCCAGGAGTGAGGATTGGCCGGTTCTCCGTTCACTATGCGAGTGTTGACGGCAGGAGGAAACGTGGGCTTTCCGCACCTTTCAGGCCAGTCTGTGAAAGAAGAAGAGCTTAGCATTCAGGTGAGGAGGATTTCAAACATGCTGACCATTATCCTCGCTGGAAATTGCTCAGTATGGAAATAGGTGTTGCTTTTGAATGTAGTGTGAAATGTGGATTGTAAAATGCCTAAGATTTTGCCTTAGTCATCTTTGAAAGTGGTTGTTAGATTATAGAGTGCATTTCTATACACGTTTGATGGTTGGTACGCTGTATTTTGGCTAACATCGAGGTTCTCTCAAAGTTGTACAAAAGAAGTTAATGATTCGCACTCAATTGTGTTTTTATTTTTACTTTTTCTTACATTTTACGAGTGATAACAGACGATTCGGCACAAAGCCTTCCTCAGTGTGTCTCTCAAAGTTGTAAACAAATGTTTGTTTTTTCATTTTCAGTTTTGTTCTCAAAGACATTATTCATACATCATTCATGATTTTTTTTCACTGGAACTTTTACACAGAACTTAACAGGAACCTAAAACGTTTTTGTTAACTAGGATGTTGAAAGACTTTGACAATTCAAAACAGGATTTTCAGCTCTTAATCAATCAGTTGGCAGTTCATTACGCTGTGGCGACCCCTAATGAATAAAGGGATTAAGCAAAAGTAAAATCAATTAATTATGTGTAAGATGTTTTCATGAAAAATCCAAAAAACACCAGAGCAGTGTTAAATATTTTGCTGATTTAGGCACTTACATTATCCCAAATGTTTTGTGACAGAGATGTATCGCCATGCTAATGACATCACGCACCTTCAATTCTGTTTTACTAAAACACCAACAACACCAAAGACTCTTTAATGTACTTAAGAACGATAACTCCCATGATTCCATCAAAATACTTCTTTGTTTGTTGTCAATACGTGCCTTCTAGTCGCCATGAATTGACATCCCATGCCTTTATTGTTGATTATGGAATTTGTATAAACCGTTTTGACATATTGGCTGCGTCCGAAATCGCCTACTACTCAGTAGATACTGCAATTGAATTTAAATGTACTACTGCTCACTAAATACAAGCCCAACAGATCACTCAGATCTTTAAGATCATATAAACTAGAAATTCCAAGGGTTCAGTCAAAGCAGGGTGAATCTGCCTTCAGCCACTTTGCTCCTCGCTGCTGGAATCAGCTTCCAGAAATGATCAGATGTGCTCCAACATTAGGCACATTCAAATCAAGACTGAAAACACATCTGTTTAACTGTATGAGCACTGTGCTGCGTCTGACAGATCGCACTATTTGGTTTTTCATTTTCTTTTTCATTCTTTTATAGCCTATTTTAACTCATTTTAATTTGTTTTTATCTGTTTTAATAATTTTTATTGTCTGCATTTTATGTTCCTTTTTATTCCTGTTTATGTAAAGCACTTTGAATTGCCACTGTGTATGAAATGTGCTATATAAATAAACTTGCCTTGCCTTGCCTTACTCGACCGTTAGAAAAGTACGTTCTTTACTGTATGAATGTGAGTAGTGTGAAAGGAACCTGGACATACTACATCTGCCATTTTGTCATAATCACGTAACCTACTCGTGTCAGTTGTGCTGCTTCACTCCCTTTCATCAATTCTCGGGGCATTATGGGATATCGTTGGGTTCGTCTGATGCGCACTTCAGAATCTTGTTGGAAGTATGAAGTCATTCGCGTACTTCTCGCATACTGTTTTTTTGAATACTATGAATTTGGACATACTACTCAGCTCACATACTATTTTTAGTATACTATATAGTATGGTAGTATGCCATTTTGGACGTAGCCATTGATATAGTCTACAAAACTCCAGCTTTTTTCTCCAGCAACTAATTGAAAGGCTTCTGATTGGATACTGTATATCAGCTCAACCAAAACATTTGTGATTGGTTGTTTGGCTCAGTGCCCCAAAACCAATCACCAAGACTCTTCTCCAAGTCAATAAATAATAGTCAATAAACAATAGTCAAGTTTATGAGTCAAAAAACTTTGCTCATACCTATCGTGATGTCATCCCATGGGTTTGGTGATACTGGAGGTTCAGTGGGAACAGGTAAAGTAGAATCAGTGGTCCAGTGTGCACGGAAACCTTTGCCCTCGAGGAAAAAGTCAGCAAAGAAACGTAACACAAGCTCATTGGTTGTGCTTTCGATGACGGGAGGCATTTTGGTGCCACAGAATGGGCCTGCAAGGAAGCAAATGTATTTGAGTGCATTGCTGTCCACCTTAAAAGCATCTGAGTAAATCACTTTTGTACTGTATGTCCGCTTTGAATGAATGGAGGATGTAAATCTGTCACCGCTTTAAGTGTGTCATAAACCGCCGTCCTTGAAAAAGCATTCAATAACATCCCTTACCGTATTTTTTCGCTCCAGGTTTTGATCCATCGTAGACTACCACGTTGTCATTGCACTGGCCGAAAAGGATGCCTGCCTCTTCCATGTCAAAATCGGTGAACGTCAATTTAATGGTCTTCCCCTTGGGAGTGCGGATGGTCCACAGACACATGCTGTTAGCTGGATAGTTGGTGGGCCAGTTTTGAGACTTGATGACGCCTGTCTCCTGCTGTGAGAAACCGCCGCATCCCTGGATATCTGCAGGACATCATAAGTGCAGTTTGGTGCCTTCGGACACAGTAACGGGTATAAAATGTGACAGTTAAAGGTAGGATCGTTCCGACCAAGCAAAGTGTCACGAAATTGTGTCTCGCTGTTAGAGCAGAAGTCAGCTGGTACATGGTATCTCAGGGGTTAGCCCGCAGTCCAAGACAAGCCACATGCCACCACGGTCCAAAATTAACTTTTTGGCAGAAATATGTGGCAGGTGGCAGGAAAAAAAGTTTTATCATTATTTTCAACTGGCTACAAGACTGTGTGTGTGTGTGTGTGTGTGTGTGTGTGTGTGTGTGTGTGTGTGTGTGTGTATATATATATATATATATATATATATATATATATATATATATATATATATATATAAATTTTTGTTTAATGGAGATTTCTTCAACATTTCTGAACATAATAGTTATAATAACTCATTTCTAATAACTGATATATTTAATCTTTGCCATGATGACAGTAAATAATATTATACTAGATATTTAAAAAAAAAAACTTGTAAACTGTACAGCTTAAAGTGACATTTAAATTTTAATTAGGTTAACTAGGCAGGTTAGAGTAATTAGGCAAGTTATTGTATAATGATGGTTTGTTCTGTAGACTATCGAAAAAATAGCTTGACCTTAAAATGGTTTAAAAAAATTAAAAACTGCTTTTATTCTAGCCAAAATAAAACAAATAAAACTTTCTCCAGAAGAATAAATATTATCAGACATACTGTGAAAATTTCCTTGCACTGTTAAACATCTTTTTTTTAATAATTTTTGCAGACAGAAAAACAAAGAACAGACAGACAAACCCATCATGTGCAATAATCTGTGCAAAATTTAAAATAAAGCAAGAAACAAGAGAAAATGGCGACATACAAAACACATATGACCTACAAGAAGACACAGCAATGGATGTAGAGAGAAAAAAAAACTTACAAATCTTCAGAAATTAAACATCTTTATGGTGCTTCAGAAAAATAAGAATAGATTCCAAAGTTCCCAAAGGTGGTATATCTTATTCTTTCCAAATGTAAAGTGGAGGTGAGTCCGAGAAGCCAGTCAGAAAAAAAGAGGCCTAACATGTTTTTTCCAAAAACAAAGGATAACTTTTTTAGCTATGATCATGCCATACTGAACAGATAACCGTACATTTCAGTTGAGAGTTTCCAGAAAATCTGACCAGCCAAAAATTGCTATCATTGGGTCAGGGAGTAAAACACAATTATAAACCTTAGCAAAGAACCGAAATATTTCTAACCAAAAATTCTCAATTTGAACACAAGACCAAAAAAGATGTGCTAAGTTACCCTCAGCAGCTTTACACTTGTCACATGTGGGGGAAACCCGAGGGATAGAATTTTTTAAGCTTTGTTTTAGAACAGTGAAGTCTGTGTAATACTTTGTTCTGAATAAGATGGTGTCTAGAATTTATAGAACATGAATAAACAGATAAAAGTCATTGATTCTAATCAGTCCCAGATATTGAAATCCCTAAGTCTTCTTCCCAAGCGACTTTCAAATGAAGAGAAAAAAAAAATCTGTTTTGATTTTAAAAGCATTTACAAATAAAGAGGTTAGGCCCCTAGCATTTGAAGAGTTAAAACATAAATCAAATAACTCGCCTTCTAAAGATAAAACTTCAAAATCTGGAATATTTAGATGGACATAGTTTCTGACCTAAAGATACCTAAAAAATTAGAAGGGGGAGTTTGAATTTCTCAGAGAGTTGTGAAAAGGTGGCAAAAATCTGTTAAAAATAATTTAATAAAAGGAAAAAAAATTCAAAGTAATAATTCTGACTTCAACTATATACACACATTTTTTATTTATTTCTCAAATGATGTTTAACAGAGCTGGGAAATTTTAACAGTGTTATATTTTTCTTCTGGAGAAAGTCTTATTTCTATTAGTTTGGCTGGAATAGAAAAGAAAAATCATTTAAAACAGCTTAATTTTAGTTTTGCCCCCTAAGGCAGTGTTTCCCACCCCTGTTCCTGAGGGCACATCAACATTTTTAACCTCTCCCTGATCAAACATTAAAAAAGACTTCAAACCCTGAAATAAATGGATCAGATAAAAGAGACATTCAAAATTGGAACAGGGTTAGGGAAACACTGCTCTAAATTTTTTTTTTTTTTTTTTTTTTTCCAGTTAGCTACAGAAAATCCACTGTTGTCCAATGACTTGCCTAATTAACATAACATAGTTAACCAATTTAACCTAGTTAAGCCCTACTGTAGTAAAATGTGATGTAATGTCATCATGGCAAAGACAAAGGAAATTAGTTATTAGAAATAAATAATTAAAAATATTGCATTTAATAATTGTTAGGCTTGAATTTAAAAAATGGTATAATATTTAATTATGTGTAGAACTAAAAGTTAAAAAGTAATACAAAACATTTAACTCAGTTTGAAATAAACATGGGGAGGAGTTTCTTCCTGAAATTTCCATTCGCATGGATTGTTATTGAAATGATTGCATTTCGCTTCCAACATTTCTGTTTTAGAGGACAGAAATCTCTCATCTTTGATCGAAAATAAATATAATTTGTATTTGGAAGATTAAAAGATTCTTAAGGCATTGGAGTGACAATAAGTTGATTAACTTAAATAGCATTTTTCTATTATTGAATTAAGGGGGACCTATAATGCAAAAATAGTTTTTATAAGTGGTTAAACACAGTTATGTGGTGACAGTGTGTGAATATAACCAGCTTCTCATGGTAAAACGTAATGAATTCTATTTGTTTACAATCACATTTGATAAAAACAGCCTGCAGAAACGCTTTAAATGACATTCTCCCTTTGTACGTGGTAAATCTACTTTATGCTAACGAATATGCATTTTATAGCTCCGCCTTTTTTCCAAATAGGAGTGGGAGCACAATCTCATTTGAATTTAAAGCGACAGCCACCAAAATGGCACAACATGCCGTTACATTACATTACATTACATAGGGAAGAATTATTCTATATCAGAGACTTATTTTGCATCTTATAAGTAGGGGCATAATAGGTCCCCTTTAATGTTATTAAAAAATTCATATAGCGCATAAAGATGTTCTATACGGCCTTCTTTGTGCTGGGAGCTTTTCGGGTTGGCTGCAATGGCAGAAGGAAACTGCAGGCTGAATTTACTGTGAGCCTGAGGAGGATATGTCATAGAGACAAGCTTTAACTGTGAGCACTGGCGACGCATTTTAATGCAGGCGTCAATCAGCCCCACTACAGATGCTTTACTCCTTTTTTAGGGGCGTAGCATCTGGCGAAAGGGGAAATGTTTTTCATAAATCCAGGAATGCGTGTGTTTACTGTGAAATAAGAGCTCTTTCAGCTGCCACCTTGTCACCTAGGACATTTATTTGAACCATTTGGCAGTATTCCAGCTTAGAGAGACAGTACAACTGATCTAAAATCAGATTTAAAAACATCTAAGGCTCTGTTTGGACCTGGAATTAAGATGCAGATCCGTCAATTCTATCAGAGGATGACTTCAAATAGAACGTTATTAGAGAGAACAATCTCATATCACAATACAATTCGTTTCGTATCCTGATAGCGATTCATTCATTCATTTTCTTTTCGGCTTAGTCCTTTTATTAATCCAGGGTCACCACAGTGGGATGAACCGCCAATTTATCCAGCATATGTTTTACACAGCTGATGCCCTTCCAGCCACAACCCATCACTAGGAAAGATAGCGATACATGTCATGATATATTACCATTTCTGTAAATTCAAAAAATTCTTTTCGCCTTTGCAAGTTTTAGGAACAACAAATAATAACTTCTATTTGATTATTTGGTATCAGAAGTGGCTTATATGAAAGGCAAAGACCTCTAGATTTCTTGCAGGACTCCCAGAGTTTATCAAGATTCTTTGGATTCATCTTCAATGCCTCCTCCTTCTTTATCTTACCTCAGACATTTAAGAGCAAGTGGCGTCCCCTGGTGGTTCGGCAGTATGGGTTGTGTATAGGGAGGATTGGCTCTTAAAGGGCCATGAAACCCCCTCGTTTCAGCAGGGTGTTTTCACACTTCTACTTTGGAAAAAGTAAAAAAAGTGGGCGTGTCCAGCTCTGTTTAGGGGGGAGTGTCGGAGGAAGAAAAGTGGGAGGGTGTGGGAGTGTCTATTTGGGCACGCACTTTTTTGACTTTCAGAGTCAAAATTCACACACACACAATAGAAAGTGATGGTGTTTAACCTACATGGACATGTGTAGTCGAATTATTTGCCAAATTATTAAATGGTGGACTTTAACTGCAGTTTGGCTCTTTCATTCAGGGAATTCATTCATGCCTCTCGCGACAAACGAGATATTTGATTCGAGGATCTGCTCTAAGCGTGTATTTTTCATGCAATGTTTGATACCGCACGGCGAATGAGAGAAAAAAAACTCAGCATTTCCTGGAAACTTAGATGCACACGGCAGGTAGCGTCAGAAAGTGTGTTATTCCGGTCACTAAATGCGGTAAAAACCCTACATGAGGTTAAAGTTTGGTTGTGGTGCTAACATGTTTACACTCTGTGCAATAGTTTGTTAGATACGAACAAACTGAATAAACAAAGAGCACTGCTCACTCACTTACCAAATCTGTAGAGACAGGACAATCACCAGCAACTAGAGCCGCGTCTTTAAGAAGAGAATACTACAAGCGAATCCGGATCTCAGCGTTTGCAGATGAGAACAGCTCTCAGGTAAACAATAATCCTCCTTAGACACGTAAGTTATTGTTGTCGAGCGTCGCGTACACTGTTAATCCACACGTGACTCAAGCTGAGCTCTCACAGAGAGAAAATGAAAACAAAACTTAACGGCAGCAAACTATAAAAGCAACACTTCACGCTTGTTTTGCCAACACAACGTGGCGTCTCTGTCGTGTAAACACGGTGATAGTAATGAATATTAATGAAGTTGCACAATAGAGCGCGCTGATTGGTTTGAACCAAGCCTTACTCATGCATTAATGCAACACACTGTAAGACGTAATAAGACTCACTCTGGCACAGACGCCCAGTCTGCATGCTGGAATACAGGCTATTATGTCATGACCGTGACGCAGCTTCAAAAATTTGTTTCAAACAGGAAGTACGAATTTGCTTGAAATAACACAAAAACAACCAATTTACACTTTTTAGTGAAGTATAGGTGTCTTAATAGTGTTTTTAACAGTGTGGGACACATATACGACATACAGCTCAAAACATGTGTTTTGGTGTTTTGTGACCCTTTAAATGTTTATTGCCACCCTTCATAGAATGATTAAAAAATTGGGGGAAATATGGGAAAATACTCATAATAATTACTGGAAAGGTATGTTCCATAGTGTTTTTTGTTTTGCATTCAACAGAATAAAGAAACTCAAAGAAATGGTGAGGAAATTAAAAAATTTTGGGTGAACTGTCCCTTTAAAACAGCTGGTGTAAATAAGAATCTCCCTCCTCTATTTACCATCCAATCAACCAAAATTTCATATTATCCTAGCTTTAATACCAGGTGTAAACAGGGCCTAAAATATTATTATAATATTGTTAGAATTGCCTTATTTAATGATGTTTACAGTACATTCGCCAAAAGTTGTTCTGCAATGCTATTCTCACCTCATTACCTCAGAATATCTATAGGAGACACAAACAAAGTGTGTGTGTGTGTGTGTGTGTGTGTGTGTGTGTGTGTGTACAGTAGATGTCTATATAAGTTTGCAAAGTGTTTTACCAGAAAGGTCCTCTGGATACACCGCTTCCCATGTGGCAGAAAAGCCACGGTCTGCTAGCCGAGCGTCTGACTGGAAACGTACAGACATCTTGTTACTGACACTGATAAGTACCGGAGGAAGAATAAATCCACAGTGTGTGCCTGCAGAAAGAGAGAGATAAATAAGAGAAAGTTTGTGCATCTCCTGGCTCGGAGTCAGACGACTGACAGGGCTAGTTCTGGATCAGCTGCACTCAAGTCCACTTATAGTGTTAGATAAAGTTTCCTGCATCAACAAGACAAGCTGAAATGTACTTTTACAAGACCATCACCCTTGAGGCCATTTACATCGCACTGTTTTTAACAAAGAACGAAACCTTTTTATGTGTTTTAAAGCTTCACTTGCACAGTGGCAGCATTTTGGGCGCTATAGAAAAAGAAGGTTTTGTTTTTTAGGACTATAGAGAGATCTCGCCGCTGTAGAAACTAAAAATAACATTGAGTTTGATGAAAGTAGTGACGTCACACACATGTACAATTGAAGTCAGAATTATTAGCCCCCCTGTATATTTGCTATTTCTGTTTAATGGAGAGATTTTTTTCAACACATTTCTAAATTGTTGAAAAATTATAGGTCAGTGCTTGTACTGTATTTCTCAGGTTACATCTTTATGGGGCGTTTCACATATTGTGTCCAAAACCACGTTGAAAACGTGACGCGTGCTTCTTTTTTTATCGATTTTAATGCGTTTCTGAACTCGAGATCCTCTGCCGTTTGCCTTTGCTTTGGCCACCATCTCCTGTTCTTACACACGCGTGGAGCCGTGGTGGGCAGTTCTTTCCATCTTGTGCTGTACTCAGTAGACCAATCACAACAGACTGGGTCATTGGACCAATCAGGGCAGAATAACTTCGCTCTGAGGAGGGGTTTGGGAACGGATGAATCACTGAACGAATCATACGGGAGTCATTAGCGTAATTAGGTAAAAATAAATGCATACTACAAGACAATGAACGTGTATTTTTGACCTGCATGCATATCGGCATGTTGTTGGAGACCCCCAAAACCAAAATATGACCTTTTATTATGCATAATAGGGGCTCTTTAACTGAAAAAGTAATTATCATCTCCATTTCACATAAAGATAATAATTATTTCATTTATCGAATGGCATCTAATTATGTGATGGAAATGAGCGCTCACGCCACGTGTGCTAATCAGTTTCACCCTAGCAAATCCAATTCATCCTCTGTGAATTCCTCCATAGACTAGAGTGTAGTTTGGCATGGTTTGTTCTGCTTTTCTCTTCAGACTCTTGTTTGTACGCTTCTTCTCTTCAGGGTAACACAGACTGTCAGCAGAACTAATACTCACACACCACTTCAACCTGACAGCCGGGTGAAGAAAGTGATGTGAGGAACACACACACACACTCACACACACACGCTTGCGAGCGCCAAGTAAGGACACAATGTCAAGACAAATGAGCCGCACAATCTATGACTGCTGGTGGACCAAAACCAAACTTGTTGTTATTCTTTTGTTTCATCTTATGTAATATCCTGGCACTGGTGTTGAGTTGTATTAATCTAAAACCCACAAGTCATATTACTGAATTATTCATTCATTCATTCATTCATTCATTCATTCATTCATTCATTCATTCATTTTCTTTTCGGCCTAGTCCCTTTATTAATCTGGGGTTGCCACAGCGGAATGAACTGCCAACCTATCCAGCATGTGTTCTACGCAGCCGATGCCCTTCCAGCTGCATCACTGGGAAACATCCATACACTGTCATTCACACACACACACTACGAACAATTTAGCTTACAAAATTCACCCATACCACATGTCTTTGGACTATGGGGAAACCGGAGCACCTGGAGGAAACCCACACAAACACAGGGAGAACATGCAAACTCCACACAGGAATGCCAACTGGCCCAGCCAGGACTCAAACCAGTGATCTGGACCTGAGTCATGCTGACTTTGTTGGCGCATACTATTCCTCTACACTTCCTCTGCAAATATCCAGCAAAACTTGTCCTCTCTGTCCTTCCTTGTGTAGTTCAAACCTCCCAAACTCTCAGTGTTTTCTCCGTCACACTTTCCCCCAGACCCCTGCTCCGGGTTTCTGACAGTATCTGCTGTGCAGTGCTTGAAAAGCTGCCGCAGATAAGCATATCGGCCGCTCACAGCTCTGTTTGATGTTCAGTAATAAGGAGCTGTAATTTATCGTACTCCCGCCTGCTGGCTCATGCCTCGCCGAGACTGATGATAATCAGTTTTTACAGCCCTTTGTGCGCCGGGATAAGAGAGAGCGATGTGAACGCCAGCCCTTCTCACGCCAGCGGTGCCATTTAGTGTTAGTTATGAACCCCAAAACAGAGTCGAAGGTCAGGCCTTACACATTTCATCTAATTAAATTACTGGAAGATTTATCATGTGTGAAATGTCTGTTTAAATATTTGAATAGTGCAGTTAGAATCGCCTCATTTTGTTTTATTCAAATATTAAAAATAAATATTAAAGTTTTTTGGTGTTTGGTGGCCTTTTTGGGTGTGTTTAGGGCTTTTATCTTTAGTTTTCAGAAAGTGTTTTTGAGAAAAACTTTCAAAATATAATTTTAAGCACTTATAAATTCACAATTTATGATACTTTTATGAATTTGTGTCTGTAGATTTCACTTACAATACATTTTTTTTAAAAGCAATTGTCTTCACAAACCTCAATTTACAACCAAAATTAATTGTTTATATGTTGCTTGAACGGGGGATATCTTCACATATTGTTGGTCTGCTTATATATCAATTTTATCTTAGCAGAAATTGTGAAAGCTTATTTTATTTTTGCCCGTTTACAGTATTTTCCTAATCATGATGTTATTTCTAGAGTTCAAACTTAGCTGATGTTTGATCATAAAGCATGTTTGGCATGCTATCCCAGGAGAGAGCCCTGAGCTCATAAGACCCTCGAGCCCGGGGCTCCCTCCCATTTGAAAGGCGAGAGGTTAGTTTGAGCTCAGGTAGATCTTGAGAACTCCCCTGGTTTATTTAAGACATAAGACAGATTATGGTGATTGCTATGGAGAGATAAACTGCTGACTGAAAGGCATAGGTAGGAGCCTGACTATGAGCTTGTATATAATGGCAATTTCATTCATTCATTTTCTTGTCGGCTTAGTCCCTTTATTAATCTGGGGTCGCCACAGCGGAATGAACCGCCAACTTATCCAGCAAGTTTTTACGCAGCGGATGCCCTTCCAGCCGCAACCGCACTCATACACTACGGACAATTTAGCCTACCCAATTCACCTGTACTGCTTGTCTTTGGACTGTTGGGGAAACCGGAGCACCCGGAGGAAACCCACGCAAAGGCAGGGAGAACATGCAAACCCCACACAGAAACGCCAACTGAGCCGAAGTTCAAACCAGCGACCCAGCGACCTTCTTGCTGTGTGGCGACAGCACTACCTACTGTGCCACTGCCTCGCCCATAATGGCAATTTGGTTTTGTCAATTCATTTATGTCTTGGACTATGGGAGGAAACCGAGCGAGCCGTGGGAAACCCACGCAAGCACAGGGAGAACATATAAGCTCCGGATAGAAACATTGACTGGCCTAGTAAGGACTTGAACTAGAGACAGTCTTGCTGTAAGGTAACAGTGCTTACAACTGAGCCCTCTCTAGGAAATGGAAGGAAGAGTAGGGGTGGAATGGAGGATTCTTCAAGATGAAGATAACTACCCACATAGCAAAATTTCTCTGGCCCAGCTCTGGCCCACACAATCAGGTTTTGCTTGGCCCACATGCCGCAGTGAATTACGGTACATGACTGGACCAAATCTGGCTTCCAGACAAGGGCCAAACACAAACCATATCTGGGCCAAGTCTCAGCCAAGTTAATAACTCATAACTGGGCCTGAACTGGGCCAGATAGGTTTGTGTGTCACGATTGCAATGAAATTGATAAACCCATGGAGTGATGCTCTTTAGGCACACTATGGGCACGCTTTTTTTCAAAGTGACCTGATTGGTAAAATTTTTTTTCTTTACTCAAAAATGATTTTAGTGTATTTCAAATGTGGGTCAAGACTGGCCAAACTCACATGGCCCACTTATCAAATTTTTAAATCTGGGCCAAATACTACGTTTTTCATCTGGCCCAAATCTTGTGTGCCGCCTTAAAAACGGCGCCACCTCTGCCAAACCCGGGCCATGTTTGGCCCACATGCTGTATGCCAGTGCCGGATGAATGCCTGCTGTGCCAGCTTTATGCCAAATCTGGGCCAGAATTCTTTGCTACTAGGGTAAGGTAAGAAATTCTGGCTATTTATAGTGTGTTAGGATTCAATTGATTGGTAAATCATATGTTAGCTAATGCGGGACCAGCTGTGGTCAATCATAAGCATGTGATCCTTTAGAAAGTAGTTTATAAATAATCTTCTAAGCTGTTTTCCAACCTATTAGATCGCATTTCTTTAAGTGTTTAGTCCTGGAGATGGTGCTGATGGACAACAGTATTAGTTCAAAGAGGATAAAAGCAGGTAAAATAGATTAAAACTATCGTTTCAAAGCTGTCTAAATGTGACTGTTTACACGCATCAGCTGCCGACCGGAAGTTCTTCGCATTCTCTTTGCGCATACACGCAAAGCATAATGGGTAATTTTGCATTCCAAGAAAAAGATCTATACATCAACAAGAAATGAAATCAGTAATTTGTACCCAACAATGCGCATTTTGAACCCACCTCACTAACTAACACCCTCACTAGGGCTCTATGAGTCTTGTTTGATTAATAGTGATCACGTAATAGGAAACACATTAGTAGTAAAAACCAAGCAATGGTAACATTTGTGTCTTTTCTCTTCCAGAGTCGTGTCTTACCCAGTGACTGCAGACTATCAGAGACGGTGAGTTTATCTTTGCCGCATTGACCCGCTTCACCCACGATGGCCAAATCGGTGATGCGCAGTTTGACAAGAAAGCCTTCATCCACTGTGATGTCCCAAGAGCAGCTCAAATTTGCAGGATAAGCCTGAGGATACTTCTCTGAGTTTATCTGACCTTTGCGTCCAAACAGCTTCCCAGGGGAGCCGCAGCCCGAGTCTGAACACAGAGAGAGAGAGAGTTATTGTCACAAAGAGAAATTCATCATGCTTAAATATCATCTGGCTTCACGTAGGGTAAAAACGCTTGTCATGCTCGATGATGCTGCTGCAAATTGGGCTTGTTAACAAAGCAGATCCGATTGATTTTCTTCAAGTGCTGCACTAAAATTATGTTGTCTGTTGTCTTGAATGGGATTTGAGTTACTGCAATATAGCAACTCCAAGATAATAGAAATAGAGCACACACACACACACACACAAGATCTGATTTAATGTCTTTTTCCTACAGAGAAAATCAATTTTATGGAGAGGATACAGATAGTTTTGCTCATTCTCTAACTGCCCAGCAATCACAGGACATCAACATGACGTCAGATTGACGTTGTAGCCCAACGTCATCGGTATGTTGCGTTTTGTTTGATGATGTTGTGATGTTGTTTTTTACATTTTTTTAAAAACCATTTTAAAGTCAATATTATTAGCCCCCTTAAGCAGTATTTTTTGTTTTCAATTGTCTACAGAACAAACCATCGTTATACAATAACTTGCCTACTTACCCTGACTAATAATTCTGACCTCAACTGTGCTAACAAACCATACATCAATGGAAAGGTTATTTATACAGGTTTCAATTAATGTAAATCCCAATAAAAACAACTCAAATCTGACCCTTAAGGCTGGTTTTGTTGTCCATAATGAGATATATGACTCTGTCAAACTGCTGTGAGTGTATTTACCTTCTGGAGCCGGTGTGTTGATTGTTGGTCCAGCGGTTGTTGTTGGTGGTGTGGTTGTAACTGGTGGAGCACTAGCTAGGGTGTATGTGGCACTAAATCCTTTAGCAGACCCGCTGGAATCAGACTTGAAACGAACCACCATACTGCTGCCACTAGACAACACCGGCGCCGGGACCTTGTTTCCACAGAAACGACCTACAGTAATTTAGATTTATATGTTTTGGCAGATAAAAAATGAGCACACAGATGTTCGCCGAGGAACAAAGCGAGCTTTTTTGGATTCAGTAAATGTCAAATCTCACCCAGTTGGGCTGCGCCATCTGAAGCACCATCATAGATGTCCACAAAGTCACCACATGATTCTGGGACGAGGTCAAAAGCTGTGAATGTTAGCCGGATCTTTTCCCCATCAGGTACTCGAATCATCCACTGAGCAAACCACACAAATGAATAATATTAGTTTAAAGGGCACTCTTTTATTGGAAAAAGGCTAATTTTACAATTGAACAGTTGAGATTTACCATTTTCCGGCTGATCTTCGGGTCTGGCTGGAGCCTTTTAGCTTAGCTTAGCATAATTCATTAAATTGGATTAGACCATTAGCATCTCTTTTTAAAATTATTCTATTTTCTGTTTAAAGCTTGACTCTTCTGTAGTTAAATGGTGTACTAAGACCGACAGAGAATAAAGACTTGCTATTTTCTAGGTCGATGTAGCTATAATAACTGTACTGTATTCAGAGGATTTCCCAGAGATGGGTTGCGGCTGAAAGGGCATCCGCTGTGTAAAAACTTGCTGGATAAGTTGCTGGATAAGTTGGTTCATTCCGCTGTGGCGACCCCGGATTAATAAAAGGACTAAGCCGACAAAAAATTGAATGAATGAATATTCAGAAGAAAAATATTCTGAAAATCTTGGAAACATTTGTGAGACGATTCAGAACTATTTTCTGGTGCTGTGTAATATTATTGTGCCTTCTTCAGCCGTGGTACAGCAGCAAAGATTATTACGCAGGAATGAAAGTATAGTTAAGGGCGTCCGCTGTGTAAAACATATGCCGGAACAGTTGTCGGTTTTTTCCGCTTTGGCAACCCCTAATAAATAAGGGACTAAGCTGAAGGATGTGAACGAATGAGAGTGTAGTTTCTATTCATATTAGCCTAAAAAATAGCAACTTTCAACAGTCTTGCCACATGATGTAAATAGGAAAAGTCAAGCTTTAAATCGGAAAATTATCAAAAGTTGTTTTTTGAGCAAGATGCAAATGGTCTAATCTAGTTCAATGATTTATGCTAAGCTAAGTTAAAAGTGCTCCCGCCAGTAGAACTGAAGATCTTTATCCAAAACTGAACAGACTTCATTTTCAGGGTTAATTTCTGTCATTTTACATGGGTCTATCCAGGCTCAGTCTTGCACTGTAAATGAGTTGTCTTGTGATGCATTTCGATTAGCATGAGAAATGTGAAAATGTATGTCAAGGAGGTAAAATGGAGGCTTGCATCTGGCTGTTATGTTTTGGTTGCACTGGTGTCTACTGCAAAGACTGAGGTGTGGGAAATTTAGCATGCATACATTTGAATAATGTCTGGCTATGAACAGGTTCTGGCTTTTAAAAAGCTGTCAGACTAAATGTAGGCCTTGGCCTTGTTGGGCTTAACTTTTAAGGCCTGATCACAGCTCTAACTGCCAGACCCAGAGAAGGATTCAGAAATAGTAAATGCTCCTTTAACATTAATTGTCGCAGTTGAATAACCAGATTGCGCTGCATGTAAATTTCTATTTTTGGGTTTTTTTGTTTTGCATGTGTTCAACACATGGACTGATCCGAATGCAATTTTGGTATCCTGACAGGCCTGGTGATTGAAATACTGCTTCCTCGTGCATCTTTAGTTAGTTTGGAGGCTGGCTGTAGATTAGCTGATGTGGGTAAATATCCTGCCAGATGGAGCTCGCTGAGAGGAAGCTTTTAGCAATCTGACTTCCACAATCAAAGCATCTCGTGTCAAAACCCATTAACAGAAAGTCATCGCAAACACCCCTGTTTCCTGTATGAGCGTCGCTGGATTCATTATTCAATGTAATTTGTCAGAAAATGAGATGGAAAATATATTTTTGTAGTGTTTTTAGATGGAAATACTCTAACCGGCCACTTCATTAGGTACACCTGTCCAACTGCTCGTTAATGCAAATGTCTGATCAGCCAATCACATGGCAGCAACTCAACGCATTTAGGCATGTAGACATGGACAAGACAATCTGCTGCAGTTCAAACCGAGCATCAGAACGGGGAAGAAGGGTGATTAAAGTCACTTTGGAAGTGGTGTGGTTGTTGGTGCCAGACAGGCTGGTCTGAGTATTTCAGAAACTGCTGATCTACTGGGATTTTCACGCACAACCATCTCTAGGGTTTACAGAGAACGGTCTGAAAAAGAGAAAATATCCAGCGAGCGGCAGTTCTGTGGGTGCAAATGCCTTGTTGATGGCAGAGGTCAGAGGAGAATGGCCAGACTGGTTCCAGCTGATAGAAAGGAAACAGTAACTGATAACTACTCGTTACAACCGAGATATGCAGAAGAGCATCTCTGAACACACAACACGTCCAACCTTGAAGCGGATGGGCTACAGTAGCAGAAGACATCACCGAGTGCCACTCCTGTCAGCTAGGAACAGGAAACTGAGGCTACATTTCGCACAGGCTCACCAAAATTAGACTTTAGAAGATTGGAAAACGTTGCCTGGTCTGATGAGTCTCGATTTCTGCTGCGACTTTCGGATGGTAGGGTCAGAATTTGGCATCAACATCATGAAAACATGAATCCATCCTGCCTTGCATCAGTGGTTCAGGCTGATAGTGGTGGTGTAATGGTGTAAAGGATATTTTCCTGGCACACATTGGGCCCATTAGTACCAGTTGAGCACCGTGTCAACACCACAGCCTACCTGAGTATTGTTGTTGACCATGTCCATCCTTTTGTGACCACAGTGTATCTCCTGATCCCTACTTCCAGCAGGATAATGCTCCATGTCATAAAGCATGAATTATCTCAGTCTGGTTTCTTGAACATGACAATGAGTTCACTGTTCTCAAATGGCCTCCACAGTCACCAGAGCTCAATCCAATAGAGCACATTTGATATGTGGTGAAATAGGGGATTTGCATCATGGATGTGCAGCTGACAAATCTGCAGCAACTGCTTGATGCTAACATGTCAGCATGGAGCAAAATCTCTGAGGAATATTTCCAGTACCTTGTTGAATCTATGCTAAAAAGGTTTAAGGCGAAAGGGGGTACAAATGAGTACTAAGGTGTACCTAATAAAGTGGCCGCTGAGTGTACAGTAGTTAAGCCTTTAAATGCCACTTTAAGCTGAATGCTAGTATCTTGAAAATATCTAGTCAAATGTTATTTACCGTCATCATGGGAAAGATAAAAGAAATCCATTATTATAAATGAGTTATTAACGTTATTTTGTTCAGAAATGTGTTTAAAAAAATCTTCCTTCTGTTAAACAGAACTTGGGGGAAAGAATAAACAGGGGGGCTAATAATTCTGACTTTAAATTATATCAAGCCACCAAGACGTCACCTTACATAAATGAGCTGTGGGTGAGCAGATGAACTGGAAATTTTCACTTTTTAATAAACGATCCCTTTAACACCTTCAGTTTTTTAAGGCATCAGATATGGAACACTGTGTTCAGATCAGTAGGACAGTGGGTGGAAAAGAACAAAGACACAGCAGAAAGAGAGCAGACTGGAAGAAGGTGGATTGTGATAAATCAAGAGCAGGTGTAGAGGTTATACTGATCATCATCGGGACGCACCTGGTAGAGCGCGTCGCTCTCGTAGTTTAGTGCTGGAAAGCCAGGGGTCAACAGCTCCCCGCGGTCACCTTCAAGAACACCACCGGCCCCGACTATTTCTAGAAGATTGAGAAAGAGATTGGGCTGTTTTTCTCACAGTAAGCTCCTCCCACCCCTCTGAATGCACAGCACTGAATTACACCCTTCTGAATTACACCTATTGGCTCAGTGGTTAGCACTGTTGCCTCACAGCAAGAAGGTCACTATTTTGAGTCCTGGCTGGGTCAGTTGGCATTTCTGTGTGGAGTTTGCATGTTCTCCCTGTGTTGGCGTGGGTTTCCTCCGGGTGCTCCGATTTCCCCCACAAATCCAAACACATAGTCTATAGGGGAATTGAGTAAACTTAATTGGCTGTAGTGTATGTGAATGTGAGTGTATGGGTGTTTCCCAGTACTGGGTTGGAGCTGGAAGGGCATACGCTGTGTAAAACAAATGCTGGAATAGTTGGCGGTTCATTCCGCTGTGGCGATTCCTAAAAAAGGGACTAAGCTGAAGAAAAATGAACAAGTAATTGAACTACACACACATACATTGAGATTTCATGTTTTATGGGGACCTACTAAACTGTAAAAGCTCCCAATACACACACACACACACACACACACACACACACACTGACACAGAGGAACAACAGAGATTTTGCTCTTTTGAAAGAAACCAAAATGGGTTTTCTGACAGCCTCCCGTTTTTTAATACGCACACACTTACAATCATGTACACACACACACACACACACACACACAACAGTAATGGCAGAGATTTAGCTGCATAGAAAGACAGCAAAACAAATTCACTCATAGGACCTATCTTCTGAATACACACATTTAAAATTACAAATGCACACACACACATTTTTATAATACACACACGCACACACTCACACACACATTCATATAATACACATGCAAACACACATTCGTATCATACACACATGCACACACATACACACGCCTTCACGTCCACACTCATAAACACATGCACACACTCACACATACACACACTCTCACTCACACACACACACACACAATCACATACCGTACATACTGTATGCACACTCATACCCACATGCACACAATCATACACACGTACAAACACACACTCATAAATATGTTCACACTCTCATCCATACATGCACACACAAACACGCACACACTTATAAACATGCACAAACTCTCACACACATACTAGTACCCACATGCACACACACACATTCATGTCATACACACATTCAAACAGTCATGCACACACTCATATAATTGCACACCCTCTCACACACACACTCATAAAAATGTGCACATACTCTTACACACACACTCACACCCACATGCACACACTCTCATACGTACATGCACACACAAGCACACACACACTTATAAACACATGCGCATACTCTCTCACACACACTCATAAACACATGCACACACTCTCACACGCATTCATTATACACACATTCAGCCACTCATGCACACACTTTCACATGCACTTAGACACATGCACGCCCTCTCTTACACACACTCTTAAACACGTGCACACACACTCACACACACACATGTTAACATATGCACATACTCTTTCACACACACACTCATGCACACACTCACATGCCGACTCTCTCTCTCTCACACACACACATGCACACACACTAATAAACACATCAACACGTTCTCTCACACACACACACAAGTTAACATATGCACATACTCTTTCACACACACACTCATGCACACACTCACATGCCGACTCTCTCTCTCTCACACACACACACACACACACACTTTCACACCCACACTTATTATCACGTGCACATACTCTCTCACACATGCACACACTCATACACACATGCACACACTCACACGCACAAACACACACACTCTCACAAAGTCTCTCTCACACACGCGCACACACACACACACACACACACAGGAATAGAGCGGCTGAGATTTAGCTGCATAGAAAGACACCAAAACAAATTTCCCAGCAGTGCTTCCCTTTTGAATACACACACTCGCTCACACGTACACACACACACACACATACACACAGAGACTGAAGTACTGTTTCTAGGTCAGCTGCAGTGAGACTCTTCTAGCAGTCTCTCAGTGTGTGTGCGTGTGTGCTGATATGAAAGGCGCAGAGCAGACGTGTGTATTGTTCGGATGTGTAATAGTGCTGTTATGAACTGAAGCTGTGATGTGAGTGTGTGTGTGTGTGTCTTCACCTGACGTCTGCCCAGGGCTCACAGCGCGATACACAGCTCTGAATCCTGTGTCCGTGTGTCTGTCGTTGGTGTCGAAGTACACAAAGAGGCTGTTTCCCAAAGACACGATGGCTCTCGGCGTGGAATAGCCACAGTACTTCCCTGTAGGAAGAAGAAACTCTCAGTGTGTGATTTATTTAATTTATTCTAATGAAAATGAAGCCTAATTTAGGATACTTCTGCGTTTTTTTGTATTGTTTTGCCATTTTGCATATACTATTATCGCGTTAACGGTACTTTTTTAGTACCATTACTAAACATTACATATTTTTTAGCAATTCTTCTTACCATGATGTGAAAAACTTGCATACATACTGTATGAATTATACATTTAAAATGTCAGATATACACTCACCGGCCACTTTATTAGGTACACCTTACTAGTACCGAGTTGGACCCCTATTTGCCTTCAGAACTGCCTTAATCCTTCGTGGCACAGATTCAACAAGGTACTGGAAATATTCCTCAGAGATTTTGCTCCATATTGACATGACAGCATCACACAGTTGCTGCAGATTTGTCGGCTGCACATCCATGATGTGAATCTCCCATTACACCACATCCCAAAGGTGCTCTATTGGATTTAGTTCTGGTGACTGTGGAGGCCATTGAGTACAGTGAACTCATTGTAATGTTCAAGAAATCAGTCTGAGATGATTCACGCTTTATGACAGTGCGTTATTCTGCTGGAAGTAGCCATCAGACGATGGGTACACTGTGGTCATAAAGAGATGGACATGGTCAGCAACAATACTCAGGTAGGCTGTGGCGTTGGCACGATGCTCAACTAGTACTAATGGGCCCAAAGTGTGTCAATAAAATGTTCCCCACACCATTACACCACCACCACCAACCTGAACCATTGATACAAGGCAGGATGGATCCAATTTTGACCCTGCCATCCGAATGTTGCAGCAGAAATCGAGACTCATCAGACCAGGCAACATTTTTTTAATCTTCTATTGTTCAATTTTTGTGAGCCTGTGTGAATTGTAGCCTCAGTTTCCTGTTCCTAGCTGACAGGAGTGGCACTCGGTGTGGTCTTCTGCTGCTGTAGCCCATCTTCCTCAAGGTTGGACATGTTGTGTATTCAGAGATGCTCTTCTGCAGACCTCGGTTTTAAGAAGTCATTGTTTGAGTTACTGTTGCCTTTCTATCAGCTCCAACCAGTCTGGCCATTCTCCTCTGACCTCTGACATCAACAAGGCATTTGTGCCCACAGAACTGCCTCACTGGATATTTTCTTTTTTTCAGACCATTCTCTGTAAACCCTAAAGATGGTTTTGCGTGAAATTCTCAGTATATCAGCAGTTTCTGAAATACTCAGACCAGCCCGTCTGGCACCAACAACCCTGCCATGTTTAAAGTCACTTAAATCACCCTTCTTCCCCATTCTGATGCTCGATTTGAACGGCAGCAGATCGTCTTGTCCATGTCTACATGCCTAAATGCATTTTGTAATTGGTTGATTAGAAATTTGCATTAACGAGCAGTTGGACAGGTGTACCTAACAAAGTGGCCGGTGAGTTTATATGTATAATAAAATAAAATAAAAAAACACACATTAAGGGTTTAGATTATCAAGTTATCCTTTACTTTACATACAATCTAAAGGAGAAAAGCTTTCTTTTCGCATAATATTATCTCTCATTACATTTTAAGTGTGCAGTTTTTTTCTTGTAGAGTATGAGTTCTGTCATGCAGTATAAGCGATGGTTCAACAGCCCCCTCAATAAAAAAAAAAAACAGTGATCGGTTGCATTCTGTCAGAAGAGAATGGTCTCCTGCCCTCTGGAATGAACACAGGCAGATTCCTCCTGCGCTCGTGGTAATTAACTTACACATTTTTTTTACTGACTCTCTGCAGGGATTGGAAATGATGACCGTCAAGACTCACCGATGGTGCCGAGTTCATCCCTCAGAGAGACGGAGTCGGCCTGACACATGCTGGAGTCCTCGATGGAGAAATGCTCAAACCACAGATGAACCACCTGCAGGAACACACTCATCTGCTGAGGCTGAGGCACACTTTATACATATCATATATATTTTTCTCGGTGGAGAAACTAAATTTCACTGAATTGAATTGTGAGCTTTAATTCTAAATTAATAAATGACAATACACTATAAAAATATCTGTTAATAAGCAGTTTTCCGTAATTTTTCATTTATGTTTTTATTTTCCCCTATTTATTGATGCTTTTGAATTGCATTATAGGACTTTGATTTTTCTTGCAACAACTTTTAACCTTGAAACGTTTGAAAAAGTGACTGTTATTAATATTTTTTATAGTTTAAACTGATATATTGTCTGGGTTGGTGTTGTATATTACAATACAAACAGCTGGTAATAAACTGCCTGTAAATTTTCTGTTATTTTACAGACTTATTTCTCTAAATATAATTTATTTTCATTGTATTATTTCAAACTACTAAAATGTCCATAAAAATCACAGTTTCAACTTTAAAAGTGGACAGAGTCCTCCAATGCAATTCATAACCGTAAATAAACAGAAATCACTTGTGAATCACAACATACTGAAACTGCTCATTAACATATTTTTTACAGTGGAGTGTTTTCTTACAGACTATACAGTACTTGAATAATCTTTATTTACAACCTATTAGAGCATTTAAAGGAATATACAGTTGAAGTCAGAATTGTTAGCCCCCCTTTGAAGTTTTTTTCTTTTTTAAATATTTCCCAAACGATGTTTAACAGAGCAAGGAAATTTTCACAGTATGTCTGATAATATTTTTTCTTCTGGAGAAAATCTTTTTCTTTTATTTCGGCTAGAATAAAAGCAGTTTTTAATTTTTGAAAAAACATTTTAAGGTCAATATTATTAGCCCCTTTAAGCTATTTATTTTTTCAATAGTCTACAGAACAAACCATCGTTATACAATAACTTGCCTTAGTTAACCTCATTAACCTAGTTCAGCTTTTATATATCACTTTAAGCTGTATAGAAGTGTCTTGAAAAATGTCTAGTCAAATATTATTTACTGTCATCATGGCAAAGATAAAATAAATCAGTTATTAGAAAGGAGTTATTAAAACTATTATGATTAGAAATGTGCTGAATAAATCATCTCTCCATTAAACAGAAATTGGGGGGGAAAATAAACGGGTGGCTAATAATTCAGACTTCAACTGTATATATAGTGTTTTGAAAAATTATGTCAAATAAATGTGCTGTAAGATAAAATTTATATTTACATTTCCTGGTTATTCAGTTGATTAAAATGTGTTGTATGATGGGTTGGTTAACATTAAGCCTTATATAAATTGCAATTTAAAAATGTATATTATTTAAATATTTACTGTTATTTTAGGAAAATAAAATGAATAATATATGGATTTTTTATATCGTTCAATTATTATTTTTCATTTTTTAACATTTATTTATGTATTTATTTGCCTTTTTTATCGTAATTTTATTAAGCCAAAAAGTTCTCAAAATTAACTTGGCAAGTTAGGGTAATTAGTCAAGTTATTGTATAATGATGGTTTGTTCTGTAGACTATCGAGAAAATATATAGCTTAAAAGGGCTAATAATTTTGTCCCTATAATGGCGTTAAAAAAATTAAAAACTGCTTTTATTCTAGCCGAAATAAAACAAATAAGACTTTCTCCAGAGGAAAAAATATTATCAGACATACTGTGAAAATTTCCTTGCTCTTAAACATCATTTGGGAAATATTTAAAAAAGAAAAAAAAATCAAAGAGGGGCTATTCAACTGTGTGTGTGTGTGTGTGTGTGTGTGTGTGTGTGTGTGTGTGTGTGTGTGTGTGTGTGTGTGTGTGTGTGTGTGTGTGTGCGCGTGCGTGCGTCTGTCTGTGTGTGTGTGTGTGTGTGTGTGTGTGTGTGTGTGTGCATATAATTTATTTTATTAATTTAGCAAAAATAAAAATTCTTTCAGAGTAATTCTATATCTCTATACTTTTTAAAATGTTCTATTATTACTTTTCATAATTTAGACTTTTTTTTAGTTCTACTATAAATGTTTTAGGGTTTTTTTTAATGGATGCTTTATTTTATTTAGATTTTGAGTCGAAGTTTACTTGAGTGTAAATAGCATTTGGAGAATGTTATCAAAATGAATACTTATACAGAGTAATGCCAAGAAATAAAAGAATAGAAAACCCACAATATTTACCAAAATAACACTCCATTCAACTAAATCCTTAGCTAAAGACTTTCCACTGGAAAAACAATGACATCATGGAACAAGGATTCTATTACGGTCACTATTAGAATGTTTACTGAACGTTTCCAGAATGTTAGCCAAAGCTCTGAGCACATTCCCTGGTGATCTTTGTCAACAGCAACATTTTAAACCAAAATATGACGTTGTTTTGAAGACTCTGTTTTTAGATCCTCAAATGAAGGGCCAGAAAGCAGTGTACAGTAGGTCATTCTCACAGTGTGCTAATGAGCAGCTAGCAGCTAATGAGCTGAGCTGAGTGTCACCCGCTACCTTATTGGCTTCCACTGTGATGTGCCAGGCGCAGCTCATGCCATTGTTGTAGCTGTTGGGGTGATTCCCACTGGAAAACTCCCCGGAGGAGGCGGTGAGCTCCTGCAGACCCTTGCATCCCCCCTCCGTCTGCTCATCTGTGGACAGACACAGCAGCAGCGATACACTTTGACATGGCCTGTGTAAACCGATTGATTATTTTCCCTCAGGTGAAGCTGTGTTCATGGATTCAGCCTCGCCGAACATAATGCAGGTTTAGCCTGCGGACTGATCATGTTAGTGTATATATTAGTAGCTGTATCATGACATATACTGAAGCAAATCACAGTCCACAATACCTTCATGTTGTCCCAACACAAATCCATTAAGTTAACTTCATCGTTTTTACAAATTTAAGTGGATTTGAATATAAAGTAATTAAGATGTGCCCAGAGAAACCTCAACAATTGTGTTGATTTGTTTTTTTACCCTGTTCATCTGCTTTTGCTTACTTGGAGAAATGCTTGAGGTGTTATTTTACTCCTGTGAATTGTTTGCATTATTGTGCCGATATCCTGGAAGTAGAAAGTGATTACTGGAGCTATTTTCGAGAGTGTTGCACAGTTTTACTTCCTAATTTACATTTATATAGTGCTTTCTGGAGAGGAGGATGCTGAATTGCATTGCACAGGTTTCACAATCACGTTGTTCCCGTTGGTCTGATTCAACCAAATGTTTAGTCGTTTGTCATAAACTCTGAGAGATCAAATTCCCCAGGTTTTCTTGACATGTGAGTTTCAGTAGTTATGAACAGATCATTTAAATCAGTGAATCACTGGAGACTCGCTCTGAAATCAATTAAATCAGTGAGTTTTTAATGGTGAGTCACTCTGAACAGATCATTTGAATCAATGAGTTTTAAATGGAGATTCACTCTTAATGAATCATTTTAATTAGCGAGGTTGTAACTGGAGGTTCACTCTAAAATCATTTGAACCAGCGAGGTTTTACTTGAACATTCACTCTGAAATAACTTGAATCAGTGAGGTTTTAACTGGAGATTCACTCTGAAATCATTTGAATCAGTGAGGTTTTAACTGGAAATTCACTCTGAAATCATTTGAATCAGTGAGGTTTTAACTGGAGATTCACTCTGAAATCATTTGAATCAGTGAGGTTTTAACTGGAGATTCACTCTGAAATTATTTGAACCAGCAAGGTTGTAACTGGAGGTTCACTCTGAAATCATTTAAACCAGTAAGGTTTTTAATGGAGATTCACTCTTAATGAATCATTTGAATTAAACTAGATTATAACTGAAGATTCCCTCTGAAATCATTTGAACCAGCGAGGTTTTAACTGGAGACTTTCTCTAAATCATTTGAATCAGTGAGGCTTTAACTGGAGACTTCCTCTAAATCATTTGAATCAGTGAGGTTTTAACTGGAGACTTCCTCTAAATCATTTGAAATAGTAAGATTTTTAATGGAGATTCACTCTTAATGAATCATTTGAATCAGTGAGTTTTAACTGGAGATTCACTCCGAATGGATTATTTAAATCAGTAACTCATTTGCTGGAGTATCACTCAAAATTATTTAAATTGGTGAGTTTTTAACCAGAGATTCACTCTGAATGCATCATTTGAATTAGTGAATTATTCACTGCAGACACAATCTAAATTAATTTGAATTTATGAGATTTTAACTGGAGATTCACTGAATTCTGAATGGATCATTTGAATCAATGAATAATTTACTAGAGATTGACTCTGAATGGATGATTTGAATCAGTAAATAATTTACTGGAGACTCAGTTTGAAATCATTTATTCTTTGAATTTTAACTGAAGTTTCACGCTGAACGGATCATTTGAATCAGTCAATCATTTACTGCAGACTCACTCTGAATGAATCATTTGACTTAGTGAATCATTTACTGCAGGTGCACTATGAACGGATCATTTGAATCATTTAGTTGTTAACTCATTCACAGATCTAGTCAGTCTAGTCTAATTCACAAATTAAATACTCGCAACTTGTACAATACAGTAAAGGTTCCCTAAAACAATAATATTCTGATAAAGTACTGATACTTCAAATATTCTTAAACACAGTAGTGGATTAAGAAATACAGCTCTGAAGTAGCAGAAACTCACCTTTTGTACTTGAGTTGTTCCTTTCAAGGACAAAGACCACAACTAGTCCAACACAGACTGCAGCCAGGGCCACAAACAGGAAGATCAGACTCTTCTCTAGTCCCGTCAGACCTTTCTTGGACTTCATCTGTGCTGATGGTTGATGTCCAGTGCACAGACCGTGTGATTTGTGTCCTCAGATGGAGATGACGGAGCAGCGTTCCCCTCACTGACGCTCTAATATTTATAATGTTGCACTGACCTTTGTGGAGATGTACTTTAGTCTCAGATGGGCTGGCTGAAAAGGCACTTTCTGCCAGTGTCTTCTTGACACTTTTTGCTGTATGTGCAACAGATCAGATTGTACCTTTAGGAACTCATGCTGGTTTTATCTTGGAGGGCTTATCGGTGAAGGGAAAGCTGTGATTACAGTCTCAAATGATTAACTAGAGAAATATCTTACATTGCAAAAAAATAATTTCTCTCTAAGAGGTTTAATCTTGTTTGTAGTCCAAATATCCCAAACGTCTTAAATTTCTGAAATGTACCCCTATATACATTTCTGTAGAGTGCCAAAAAGGTGTGGCGGCTGTGTACGCTTTTTAAGATCTGAAATTTCTCTTGAGTGGCATTTGCACCTGCTGTTTTCGTAAAAATCCACTAGAGGCCGCTGTCTACTGACCTATCGACTGACCGACCCTCCTCCTTCACAAAACCCAACCAATAGGGTTTTCAAAAGCACAAATTGTCCTGCCCGTCTTCTTCCACATTGTCCGGTTTCCCCCACAGTCCAAACACATGGTCTAAAGGTAAATTGTGTAAACAAAGTTGTCCATAGTGTATGAGTGCGTTTGAATGAGTGTGTATGGGTGTTTCCCAGTACTGGGTTGTGGCTGAAAGGGCATTTGCTGTGTAAAACGTATGCCGGAATGGTTGTCGGTTTATTCCACTGTGGTGACCCCTGATAAATAAGAGACTAAGCTGAAGGAAAATGAATGAATGTTTTTGCCCATAGAACTCGACTCAATTGCTTCCGATGTGTTTTAGTCTGGAACTTATTGGTACCTTCCTTAAAAATGTGACATGTAGGAAAGCAAGTGCGAATTGAATTTGAGCTAAAGATATCCCTTTTGACCTTCATGTGTGGGAACACTGCTGCATACTAGTTCATACAAATACCTGGATCTATTGAGTCTAAAAATAAACACCCCGAGGGCCAGCAATTGACTGAACACTTTGTACCTGGGAAGAAGAAAAAAATAAAAGTCAACAGGGAAGAAAGAGAGCAGCTTGCAGTGCCGCACATACTGTCAAGGCCTGTTTTGCTCGGGCATTGAATGGGGCTGAATGAAAGAGGGTCTTTATATAGAGAAGGAGCCCGTATACAGTTGATGTCAGAATGAATAGCCCTCCTGAATTATTAGCCCTATGTTTATTTTTTTCTGTTTAATGGAAATGTGTCTTTCAGCACATTTTAATCATAATAGTTATAATATCTCATCTCTAATAACTGATTTATTTTATCTTTGCCGTGATGGCAGAAAATAATATTTGACTAGATTTTTTTCAAGACACTTCTATACAGCTTAAAGTGACATTTAAAGGCTTAACTAGGTTAATTAGGCAGGTATTTAGGCAAGTTATTGTTTAATTATGGTTTGTTCTGTAGGCAATCCGATAATATATATTGCTTAAGAAGGCTAATAATTTAAACCCTAAAATGATTTTTTTAAAAATAAAAACTGCTTTTATTCTAGCCAAAATAAAACCAATAAGACTTTCTCCAGAAGAAAAAATATTAGAGGAAATACTGTGAAAATTTCCTTGCTCTGTTAAACATTATTTGTGAAATATTTGAAAATTAAATTCACAGGAGGGCTAATCATTTTGACTTCAACTGTATGTGCTCCGCTCTGTTGGAGCCTTTGGAAATCAGCGGCACTTTCTGGAAAAAACTGCAGAGAGTTGTGCACAGAGTGGCACTTCATTATCTCATAAAGATAACGAGGAACTGTGTGTGGCTCATTTGGAGATTGGATTATTATGTTATCTTCATGTCGTAGAAGAGATTTGATCCTTCTAAGTGTATTTTTGATTAATACTTCAGCTTTTTTACTCATGCATTGTGAGTGTACCTTGTATGTGAAATATATACAGTATTTAACATGAGATATCTTAAAATCACCATCACAACGAACTATTCTCATGACTGACATTTACTAGAAATGATTTAGTATCGGTATTATCAGTGTCATCACTTTTCCTTAAAATATCTTACCCTCCTTATCCATCTCTAATGAAGATGCATTTAATGATGTGGGGGTATCACTTACCGGCCACTTTATTAGGTACACCTGTCCAACTGCTTGTTAAGGCAAATTTCTAATCAGCCAATCACATGGCAGCAACTCGTCAGGATGGGGAAGAAAGGGGATTTAAGTGACTTTCAACATGGCATAGTTGTTGGTTCCAGACGGGCTGGTCTGAGTATTTCAGAAACTGCTGATTTACTGAGATTTTCAAGCACAACCATCTCTAGGGTTTACAGAGAATGGTCTGAAAAAAAGAAAATATCCAGTGAGGCAGTTCTGTGGGCGCAAATGCCTTGTTGATGTCAGAGTTGATGTTGACTGGTCGAGCTGAAAAAAAGGCAACAGTAACTCAAATAATCACTCGTTACAACTGAGGTCTGCAGAAGAGCATCTCTGAACACAAAACACATCCAACCTTGAGGCAGATGGGCTACAGCAGCAGAAGACCACACCGGGTGCCACTCCAGTCAGCTAAGAACATCAAACTGAGGCTACAATTTGGACAGGCTCACCAAAATTGGACAATAGAAGATTGGAAAAACGCTGCCTGGTCTGATGAGTCTCGATTTCTGCTGCAACATTCGGATGGTAGGGTCAGAATTTGGCATCAACAACATGAAAGCATGGATCCATCCTGCCTTGTATCAACGGTTTAGGTTGGTGGTGGTGGTGTAATGGTGTGGGGGATATTTTCTTGGCACACTTTGGGCCCATTAGTACCAATTGAGCTTCTTGTCAACGCCCCAGCATGAGCATTGTTGCTGACCATGTCCATCCCTTTATGACCACAGTGTACCCATCTTCTGATGGCTACTTCCAGCAGGATAATGCTCCATGTCATAAAGCTCGAATCATCTCAGACTGGTTTCTTGAACATGACAATGAGTTCACTGTACTCAATGGCCTCCACAGTCACCAGAACTCAATCCATTAGAGCACATTTGGAATGTGATGGAACAGAAGATTCACATCATGGGTGTGTAGCCAACAAATCTGCAGCAACTGCCTAATGCTATCATGTCAATATGGAGCAAAATCTCTGAGGAATATTTCCAGTATCTTGTTGAATCCATGCCACGAAGGATTAAGGCAGTTCTGAAGGCAAAGGGGGGTCCAACCCGGTGCTAGTAAGGTGTACCTAATAAAGTGGCTGGTGAGTGTATATTATAAAAGATGCTTACTATGTTTACCGATCAAATGATGAAAAATTAATTATATATATATATATATATATATATAATTATTTTTTAGGGTTTTTTCACTTTTATGTGAAAAGGATCTCAACCTGGGAATCAAACTCAGGTCATTGTGAGCACCATGGTGCTATATGTGGCACACTAAACCACTAGGCTATTGGTGCCGACACGAAAGTAAATTTTAACACATATTTAAAAAAAAAAAAAGTTCAAATGTGATATATTTCTTGTCCACCCAGCCTGATCTCACGAGGAAACATAACTATTTTATGTTTTGCTAGTTTAATGGCTAATCATAACATATTTGTAATTTCAATGGTTGAAAAAAATAAATGGCCCTTGTCCTCATATGTTGTTATCTTATATGCTATTTGTATATTTTTAATATAAGTGAAATACTAATTTGAACTTGTATGTAATTTGCATATAATGCCGTATATCAGGTTTCTATGTGAGACACCTCAGAGTCAGAATTGAACAACTGATTCATTTTGGAATAGACTCCCAGCTCTAATTAACATACAATATCTATAAATAATTATCAGTTTACATGAACTATTTCAGGCGGCTTACATTAACACTTATGCTTGTAGCAGAATCTTTTATGCAAAGCCATTAGTTGAGGAGCACAGAGAGTTTGCATTAGTGCGCAATGCCAGGTTCAATTCAGTTTCAATTCACTGAAAATCGAGGCCTCAAGATTGGGATAAAAATAGTAAAGCGAGAGCTCATGCTATTGGAACAGGATCTCCTGCTGTCCAGGCATGTGTGGGCCACAGTGTCCAGCTACTGGCACATGATCTGGACTGTCACTGTTTTCTAGGAGGCGAAGCTGTGAGTGAAAAGCGCCATATTGTCAGGATTTAATTAAGACGAGAGGCGAGTGAAGGGCAGGCGGCGTCTCAGTGTGAGATCAGCAGTGTGGAGAGAGGAGATGATGGTCTGTCACCCTGCGGCTCTTTCTGCAGTTTTTATTTAACGCTTATTACGAGTCGATGAGGAGGAGACTGCAGATTTTACTGCAAATTGTGGATGTTAGGAAGCGACAGTGCTGTCAGCCCATAACCAGAATGACCATGATTCTGTTGCTCAGATGAAGAGTTCAAAAACACTGACAAGTCGAAAAGATTGATGACAGTCAAAATTACATTTAAACATCTGATGGATCTGTTTACACTTCTGAAATTATCTGTCTGTCCATCCGTCCGTCCGTCCGTCCGTCCGTCTGTCTGTCTGTCTGTCTGTCTATCTATCTATCTATCTATCTATCTATCTATCTATCTATCTATCTATCTATCTATCTATCTATCTATCTATCTATCTATCTATCTATCTGTCTATCTATATATCTACCTGTTCATCCGTCCGCCTATCTATCTATCTATCTATCTATCTATCTATCTATCTATCTATCTATCTATCTATCTATCTATCTATCTATCTATCTATCTATCTATCTATCTATCTATCTATCTATCTATCTGTCTATCTATCTGTCTATCTACATATCTACCTGTTCATCCGTCCGCCTATCTATCTATCTATCTATCTATCTATCTATCTATCTATCTATCTATCTATCTATCTATCTATCTATCTATCTATCTATCTATCTATCTATCTATCTATCTATCTATCTATCTATCTATCTATCTATCTATCTATCTATCTATCTATCTATCTATCTGTCTATC